TAGTCCCACCTCTAGGATTAAAATTCCGGCGTCGCACAAAAAAGTGTTGGATAATTTCAAAACTCAATTCACACAAAGTTGGTTTCAAAATGCAATTAACCAAAACTTCCTTTGCAGGTTTCAGAATGTAATTAATCAAAACTTCCTCTGCAGTTTCTCCGATTGTGCCTCTTAACATAGCCATATTGGATCAAACTTAAGTGAGGTTAAAATGTGCTAATATGTGTTATTTTAATGCAAAGAAAGATGAAGTGAGGCCTCTTTATATAATAGAGGTATATGTGTTAATGTTAATGGGAAGAAAGATGAAGTGGGGCCTTAATGGAGGTATGTTGTAGAATTCAATGGAAAGAAAGATAATGGGAAGAAAGATGAAGTGCGGCCTCAATAGAGGTATGTTGTAGAATTCCGGTTGTAGAATGGTCAAATAGGGGATTGTTTGGGATGACCTAAATAAGTGCACTTTTTGTCTTTTTACGAAAAGATGTGCAGAAAAGTGGAGAGATGATGTGTTGGAAAAAAGATAAAAAGTGTGTACTTATTTTGAGTTGCCAAACTTGACCTAGATATATAATGAGATATATAAATAATAAAATAATCCTATTGGATCGAACTCGAGTGAAGTTAAAATGTGGTAATGGAAAGAAAGATGAAGTGTGCCTCTTTATATAATAGAGGTATATGTGTTATGTTAATGGGAAGAAAGATGAAGTGGTGCCTCAATAGAGGTATGTTGTAGAATTTAATGGGAAGAAAGATAATGAGAAGAAAGATAGTGTGGCCTTGTGGGGGTTCGAGTCAAGAGTGGTCCAATCCTAGGTCGAGTTCAATCTGAACTTATGCTTGACAATACCATGTTGCAGGGTTTCAAAGACCTTGACCTAAACCCTATCTATGTGATCTGAGTCAAGGGTGGAGCAACCTTACGCTAAGCTCAATTCTAGCTTATGTTCAACAATCCAATGTCATAGAGCTTCAGACCTTGACCTAAAGTAGCTAGCTAGCTGCTTCCAATTATATATGATGTATGTATGTTACTGCAAAAGTCCACCATTTCAACCAAAAAAGAGGCATAGTACGGCCCACACTTTACTGGAAAATCTGTAACCCTTCGATGGTCAAACAAAACGTGGATATATAAATAATAAATAAGCCTAATAGTGGAGTTTATTTTGTGTCATATAGTTTTATCATTTCTTAAGATTCATTGAATAAATCATTAAAATGCAAAAACTGAAGTAATAGAATACTAGTAATTGAATTTGGAGGTATGTTGTAGAATTCCGGTTGTAGGAAGAAAGCGACATTTCAATATACAATCAAATAGAATCCCAACATGTAATAATGTGAAGAAATTTAGTACCTGAATGCAGTTTTTAGTACCTGAATGCCCGACATGGATGACTTGGTAGAGATGTGATTTTAATCCCCACTGCCCCTGATTTTGGATGGATTAGCACCTTTTTTACAATTTCTTATACAACAAAATATTTACGTGGGTGTTTATTAATTCAATTTTTTTTTTTCTTATATTTTCAAAGTGCGATGAATACAAAAAAAAATTTAAAAATATATATATATAGAAATTAGTAATAATTTCACAAAATATTTATAAATTTATGAAAAAATTTATAATTTTAGGGAAATTCTTGGGTGTACCTTCCATATGGTATGCAAGACATATGTACTTTCATTATGAATTTTTTTTTTTTTTGGTTTTGCTTATATATTTTTGTGTTTATTATTATACATTGTTGACCTATTAATTAGGTCAATTTAAAAGTAAATCATACTAAAGTAATAGATTTTATTATATAATCAAAATTATGAATAAGTAATTTTAAAAAAATACATAATTAACGCAAATTCGACTAAATTATCTTATAAAAGTTTTAATGATGGACATGAACCATGGATGGACATGAACCAGTAATTATTTTAATAATGGACATGAACCATGGTGGGTTGGTAATTATAATGATGGACATGAACCATGGATGGACATGATGAACATGAATCATGGTTGGTTAGTAATTGTTTTAATGGAAAGAAACTTGGTTCCGACATGAACCAGTAATTATTTTAATGATGGACATGAACCATGGATGGACACAAATCATGGTTGGTTAGTAATTATAATGATGGACATGAACATGGATGAATATTTTAATGGGAAGAAACTTGGTTCCGGCATGAACCATGGTTGGTTAGTATAATTATTACCTCTCATTTAAAATATCAATAATGGTTGAGATTCCTATCTTTTGAAATTTTCGCCACCTCTAAAGTGATGTAGACTATTTATGTAAGAGAGATAAAAATAAATTTAAAAAAAAAAAAAATCACACATAAATGGTTTAAATCACTTTAGGAAAGGTGGGGGTTTTCAAAATCAAAAATGCTTCCCACCTCCAGTTTTCCCGACCCCCAGTGACCCCCAGTGAGGTGGCACTCACGTGATTGTCACGTGACTGAAAAATCTATGTATCTATTAATAGACCCAAACACACAGGTTCACATTTCATTTTGAAATTTTTTCCCCTCCCCCCTCAAACACGTATATGTCTTCGCTCCAACGGTAACAGCTACTGACCTCCCACTCCGACGCCAGCGACCACTCCTTCCCTTCACTCCGACACCGACAGCTCGTTCCCTAATCTGTCTGTCTCTCTTTCCCAATCCGACAAGAAGAAGGACAGTTTTGCTTATTTATTTGATCCTTTCGCTCAAACTCTTGACATCGCTTTAATTCTCTCGCTGACTCATCGTCGTCTAAGGAACACCGGTATGAATCTCTCTCTCTCCCTCTCTATATATATATCTATCTATGAAGCCCCGACTGTCTGTATGTATATCTGCGTATATATATATATATATATGTCTATCTATCTATTTCATGTTCGATGAAAACCTTGATTTGAAATTCCTTTTCATAAATTTTCTTTTCATTTGCGAATTGTGGCATTTTCATTTACGAATTGCGGCCTTTTCATTTGGAGTCTTACATTGCCTTAAACGTGTTCGATGAAATTTCCCAACGAAATGTTTAATCTAATCATTTACCTTTTTGAATTGGTTCAATTTCTCCAGTGCATAATTTATTGATTAAACATATATAATCAAGAGTGAAAACCTGTTTAATCAATTTTAGGTTTAAAGCACTCTTGATTATAAGCAATTGCTTATAATCAATTATGAAAACCAAGATAGATACAGGTCAACAGGTTTGTAATTGCTTATAAGCAATTATGAAAACCTGAAAATTATAAGCAATTGGTTATAATGAAGAATGAAAACCAATTCAAATAATTGCACCTCATCACCATGTGTTTGACCTGTAGCAATTTAGCAAACCTGTTGACCTATTGGAATTTTAGCAAACCTGTTGACCTGTATTAGCAATTTAGCAAACCTGTTGGAATTTTATCTATCTAGCAAACCTGTTGACCTGTTGGAATTTTAGCAAACCTGTTGACCTGTATTAGCAATTTAGCAATTTAGCAAACCTGTTGGAATTTTATCTATCTAGCAAACATGTTGACCTGTATCTACCTATCTATCTATCTATCTATCAAACCTAAAAACCTGAAAAAGTAAGGAACCAAAAAATATCTATGTATCTATTAACAGGTAATTTACCTGAAAAATCATTAATTTTTCAGATTTTTCTAGCAGCTGGACCTGTGTGTGCATGTTGCAGGTGGATCTGATCAGTAATTTACCTAAAAAACACAACTCTTGTTTCTGGAGCATGCACACACAAGGATGAAACCATCAAGGGGAAAATGAAGGATTGTATAAGAACTTCTTCTACTTGGATAATGGATCAGCTACAGGACTCCTCTATCACTTTCAGCCTTGTGAAGCTGAAACAGAGGAGTTGTGAAGCTGAATCAGATTTGTCGACTTCATACCATTTTCCTAATTATTTTTCATCAGAAATACTTTTAAGGCAATAATTCCAGCATTCTCCCTTAACTTAACTTATTAACTTTACTTAACTTGCTGTTTGTCCCTCTTTGCAGATGTCAAGTTCAAGTGTCAGTGGCAGTAGCTCAGGTTGGTTGACATACGTCAACAGAAATTGTCGTACATGTAATAAAAAGGCCACCATCAAAATATCACAAACCGATCAAAACAAGAACAAGTTATTTTACTATTGTAATGTTTGTGGTTTTATCGGATGGTGTTTACCTACAAATCCAGAATATGGAGGTCATCAGATTCAAAGAGACGAAGTCCCAACTGTCGGCGAACAAGTTATGACCGAACAACTTCGAGCTATAACCGAACAACAAATACAGATGACGGAACAACTTCGGATTCAGAACGCAAAGATGCAGAAGTTGATATTTATGTTGTCCGTGTTGTTTGTAATTGGTGCCTTAAACTTATGAATATGTAATAAGTAGAAGTAGATGTCAATGTACAAGTTCAAGTAGACTTAATACTTTTGTGATGTTTTGGAGGAAGTTATGTTTTGTTATGTATTGAAACCTACTTATTGTACCTCTTTTGTGGTTAGTGGAATAGAAAATGGCTTGTTCAAATTTGTACACTTTCTTCAATACTCATTGAATGGACATTGTTAAATACAGGAAACTGTTGGATACAAGGTAACTATTGTTGAATACAGGTAAACTATTGAACATGGTAAATTGAATACAGCGAAACTATTTAATATACATTGTTGAATAAACATTGTATATTAAATAACAAAGTTTGAATCTCAATAACAAAGTTGTAACATAACCTACAATCTCAAAAATAAAGTTTGAAACTCAAAATAATAGACTACATAATTTCCAATCTTCTCAACATCAACGTTTGAAACTCATAATAGTACACTACATAATATCCAATCTTCTCAACATCAAAGTTTGAAACTCATGATAATAGACTACATAATTTCCAATCTTCTCAACATCTAAGTAAACAACTCAGATTAGTAGACTACATAATTTCCAATCTCAAAAACAAACAGTTGGAATACATAGAAACTAGTCAAACAAGTCTGTAATATCCAAGCTTCCCGATGCAGAACCATAAATCTGAGTTGGAGCACTCATCAAACTTCCCTGTGTGCCACTTATGAAATCTGATGGAGTAAGAGATGTGCCTCCAATACCATGGGCCACCTATGACAATTCATTGCAAAAAGTACATGTTAGAACAATACACTTTGCAAAAGTACATGAAGTACTCTTTCGAATACACTTTGTAAAAGTACATGAAGGCCTCTTTGGAACACGTACCGGTACATACATACTATTTTCTGTGCCAACCATATAAGGATAATACGGTGTTTAAGCTTGAGCTTGAGCCTGAGCTTCAGGTTCAAATCAGAGCAACTTAGCAGCCTGTATGTTTTGAAGAATAATTACAGATTGAAATTTATGAATTGCTTTTACATACTTCAATAGACTTTGTCAAAAAAAACATTTGAATACACATTTTACCTTTGCTTTTGTTTGTTTTTTTGTCGTTGCCTTGAACCGATTAACAATTTGATCTACTTTGGCAACCTTCCGTTTCGTAACTAGACGACCTCTTCGCCGAGCAACCAAAGGACTAATCACCTTCCTACTAGTACCTCCTTGTGTAGAACCGATGTGAATCGGACTTCTTGTTGAACATGGTAAATTACTCCCATCACCGGATTCTTCTTTCATGACTCTCTCCTTGATTTCATCCAACCCAAGGTCTATAATTCTAGTTTTGCCTTCAGAGTTACCAACAAGTTGTACAATGGCAATCAATTTTTTGTTCATCCTCTCATAGGTACTTGCATTGAAATCATTCCCAAAGCCGGTGTATGTGGTTTTGATGCATGCGTATTCGCTATCCACATCTTTTCTCCACCAGGGCAAAATGTATTTACTTGCCACCTCATTTATGCATCTTCTGACAAGCACAGCGAGTGAGTGAGCACACATAATGCCTCTAAACTCAAACAACCGACATATGCATTGAACTTCACATTCAGTTGAATTAAAATAGACAACAAGGTCCACATGCTTCATCTTCTCAGAAACTACCATCGCTTCTTGGACATTATATGTAGAAATTGATCCCTCCTCTTTCACAATCACCACCTGACAGTAAACTAATCTCTTCAACTCTCCTTGAACTTCTTTGAATTTCGCATTGGTGTAGGTTTGCTGAAATTGCTTCTCAAACCCGTATATAGTTAGGCAATCAAACAATTTGTGTCGAGACTTGAAGTCTACTTTCTTCTCTTTCTCTACCTTATTTCTCAAGGCATTGTCATATTGTTCAATGAATTACTTCAATGTAGTTTTTGGATTTACATACCCACCAAAAAACGCATTCATACTTTCACTTCGTTGTGTAGTTGACATGCCAGCCCAAAAAATGTCTTTAACATAGACAGGTACCCATCGATTCCGCTCATCATATAGTACCCCCAACCACTCATTATCATAAAGATTGAATGTTGCAAGCATCTCTTCCCATTTACTCTCAAATTCAACTCTTGTCAGACAGTCATAAACTGCATTTTGCATAGCCAACTTTATGGCTTCATACTGAGCATATCCTTTCAACTTCTTCGGAATTTTCTTCATGATATGCCATAAGTACCACCGATGTCGAGCTCGTGGAAACACAATTTCTATATCATTTTGCATAGCTCTACACTGATCAGTTATGATAGCTTTTGGCGAATGATTTGACATGCAACTTAACCATGACTTGAATAGCCAAACAAATGTGTTAGTGTCTTCACTAGACAACAATCCACAACCAAGCAAAATGGATTGTCCATGGTGATTAACTCCGACAAATGGAGCAAATGGCATGTCATATTTGTTCGTCAAATAAGTTGTGTCAAATGAAACGACATCTCCAAATGCTTCATAAGTCGCCCGACTCCTTGCATCAGCCCAAAACAAGTTTCTAATGCGAAACTCCTCATCAATATCAATCACATAAAAGAAATCTCTCACTATGTGTTTGCATCCTCATAAAATAACTTTGAAGTGATTCGGCATCACCTTCCCCAAGCCTCAACCTTCTAGCTCTCTCAATGTAATTTCTTGCATCTTGCTCGTCAAATGTCAAAGACTTGTATCCCCCTGCTTCAATAACCATTGAATAAAAGTTCCTAGACACCCCAATCCCTGCTTGATCATTAATTTCTAATCTTCTCTTCACAGGAGTAAGAATTTTCTTATTCATTGCAAAATGACGTGAGTCGGTGGGATTATGCTCAAGGTTAACTGTGGTTAGTTTATATCTCCCATCCTTTTGTACACTACCTCGTACCCTTGCTGTGCAACCAATTTTTGTGGACAAACATGGCTTCAGAGGATTGACTTCTGATGTCTTTTTTCTCTGCCCCGCTCGAGAACATTCAATTGCAAAGTTTAGCAATTGCACATCATCTCCAAAATGTTGTGCTCTATGAGCTATAGCAAATCCAACATGCTTAGCATATTTGCCATAAAATGTGTACACCTCTTCCCTTGAGCTAAAACACATACCCTTCTTAGGTTCTTCAACATGTTCGCCCTCATTTATTAAAGGATTCTCACCAACATTTGAATCAACCTCCATTTTTCCACTTTGCGTACTGAAATAACAATTAAACAAATATCATTTCCGTAACAATGCCCAAACAAAAATATTGTTTACAGATTATGGAACTAAACTTCATATTTCAGATTTTATATAAACTCTTTACAGATTATAGAACTACACAATTTACATATTATGGAACTATTCACATTACTTATCTCAAAAAATTACTTATCTCACATTACTTTTCTCACCAACTTTCATATAAACTTTTTACAGATTATGAAACTACACTGTTTACAGATTATGGAACTACACTGTTTACTTATCTCATATTCAGATTACAGATTATATAACACTGCCCAAATTTCATATTTCATATTATATAACAATTACTCATAAAATAACCACAGTTAATCATAGGTCCAAAATGATAGATTATATTTCATATTATGTTTACAGATTATATTTCAAATTTCATAGGTCCAAAATGACAAATTGATTAGAATTAATTTCAGATTTCCTTCCTTGTACCGAATTTACAATTACAAGTAACTGTGTGCATAATATGTTTACACACAAGGAATGACAAATTGATTAGAATTAATTTCAATAATTTACCTAAAAAACACAACTCTTGTCCAAAATGACAAATTGATTAGAGTTTACAGATTATATTTCAGATTTCAGAATTAACATATAACTGAAAGAGAACTCAAGTTGGATTAGCATATGAAATTGATTTTTTACCTCATAAACCAGATTGATGGACAGAGACAGAGCAGAGAAAAATCAGACAGAGCAAAATTACAGGAATTCTGAGGATAGATGAGAGCGAGTAATCTGATATTGCTCAAAACAATGGCCATTGTCCAGAATACACTTTTGCAGAAATTCCCGGCGAGCTATGGTGGAGGAGGAGGATGGCGACGAGAGGTGAGGATAGGCGAGGAAAGATAGACGAGGATGGCGGTGAGAGTTGAGGACAGACAAGGAAAGACGAGGGAAGACAGAAATTCTCGCTTTTTCCATTTATTTTTTTTTTCCAGCTGTGTTTACAGATCAGCTGCCACCTCATCACCATGTCACTGGGGGTCGCCATGTCACTGGGGGTCTGTAACGGGATTGTTTCAAAATTGAGGTCTCACTGATTTTTCTTAAAATATTATATATATATCACGTGCATCTAACATTAAAAAAGGTTACGAGTGTGTTTAGTTTGTATTTTAAAACATGTTTTTAGAAGAAAATTTTCAAAAATATGTTTGGTTACAAATTTTTTCAAAAAAATTTCAAAATTACTTTTCTCTCTATTACATATCAATCAATCACTTTTTCTTTCTTATCTCTCCTTCTCAATCACTTTTTCTCTCACACACATGTACTCAATTACAGAAAATATCAAATCATCCCAAACTCCCAAATTCTAAAATTATTTTTAAAATATACAACTAAACAAACTAAAAATATTTAAAATTAGATTTACCTAGGGGTGTTCGCGGATCGGTTTTGTGCGGTTTGCGGTTCGGTTTTGACCCGCCCGCATCTATGCGGTTTGGGAAAAAGTCAACCCGCAACCGCCCGCAATGCGGTTTGCGGTTTGTGCGGATAGGGTTTGCAAATGTGCGGGCGGTTTGCTGTTTACACTTTTTTCTTTAAAAATTAATTTTCGAGTTTTTTTTTCCCAGCGAATTTAGGCATCAGATTCATTTTATATATTTGTGATAACAATTTTTTGATGAGTTTACAAATAAAAATTGAATATCAATGCATTAAATGAAAGTACCCAAACAAAGAGACCCTACACTAGTATTTTTGTCATGAAAAAAATGAATATCAATGCATTAAAGATTGTACTCAATTAGAATTGCCAGTTCAGTAATCAATAAACAAACTATAAGTTCTATCGACCATTAGAAGGAAAATTTTATTAGGAAAAAGTAGATGAATCACTAATGAAAATCATATAAGAAATCAAGTTTAGGACTTGATAATTCTACGGCATTAAGAAAGTTGAGAAATACTTAAAAATAAGGATCCTAGTGTCATAGAGAATATAATGGTGCTCCTGTAAAAGTTATAAAGTTGATATATGAAAAGTAAAAAAAAAAAAAAAGAATCTTTAACTTTTTGGTATAGGTTATAGGTTTTTTAATTTTTTTAGTAAATTTTTGACTTTTAGACTAAAATATTCGCATATCCGCCCGCATTATATTTGCGAAACCGCCCATTTATATGCGGGTTGAGCGGATTGGGCGGTTTGAGCGGTTCAGATAAACCGTTGCCCATCCCTAGATTTACCGTCTAATAAGAGAGTGATTCTAAACAAACAAACTCCTGAACTTTTTAAGAAAGTTTGGTTATTATGTAGAATGGTGTCTTTATGAATATATTAAGTGTCTAAACTTTTGGATAAAAAAAATTTAAAATTAGATTTATCGTCTAACCTCAAGATTTAATTAGTAAATTTTTCTCTCAAATATAAGAATAAAATAAAAAAAAAATATTAAAAATATTGAAAAACATATAATTACATTAAAAAAATAATATAATAAAGTTGTTTCACCTTGAGATGGCCTTATAAAATCATTTGTTTGTGATTACTAGATCAAACTAATTATCTTAAATGTATATAAGAAGAACGTATCAAATTATATGAGAACAGCTTTGCTAGAGAGCTCTAGTAGAGCTGCTCTAATGAGCTGGCACACCCCCTCCCCCCCAAAAAAAAAAAAAAAAAAAGAATTCCAAAAGAAGGGGGAGAGGGAAAAAAAAAAAAAAAAAAAAAGAAAAAGACAAAAACAAAAGGAGGAAGAAAACAAATTAATGCTACTTTAGAGCTCTAAAACATTTTTCATGAGAATAGATCAATTATTTTATGAATAAGCCTATAATGTAAACATGGAATGAAAAATATCAACCCAAATATCAAAGGAGATTGGTCAAAATTCTTTTATAATAAAAATTTTATTACATTAAGAACAAGTACAAAAAGTTTTCTTCAAGAAGTCCGACCAATTATTTTATGAATAAGCCTATAATGTAAACATGGAATAAAAAATATCAACCCAAATATCAAAAGAGATTTGGTCAAAATTCATTTATAATAAAAATTTTAATACATTAAGAACAAGCACAAAAAATTTTCTTTAAAAAGTCCAATAAATATCACTATTATCAAAATATTAAACTTTAAAATAATATAACTTTGATGTAAATATCGATTTTTAATAAAATTAATCAGTATGTTTGGTTTCAATTTTTTGAATTAAATTTTTTTTAAATTAATTTTTTTGTTTTTTGTGTTTCTTTTTTAATGAATATTTTTAAAATTTGAAACATTTTTTTTACTTTTTTAGATATACCTTACTTAAATGTATCTAAAAAGTAAAATATTTATAAAAAAACATTTTAAAAAATTAATAAATACAGAAAAATACAAAAAAAAATATCCTGAGTTTTCATTTTTTTTTTTTTAATGAACTTCCTAAATATTTTTTTTACAAAAATTATAGTTTTTAAGTATATTTATGTCAAGTGTGTTTAAAATATTAAAAAAATCAGTAAAAACAAAAAAATACGAAAAACAAAAAAATAAAATTTTTTGAAAAGTGTTTACAAAAAACTAAAACCAAACAAAATAAATATTTTTAAAATTCTCTCATCAAGATCTATTAAATAAGATTCATGTGAACTATAAAATTCTTTAAAAAAAAAAATATTACCTTTGAAATTGATGTGTTACCCTGTTTGACAATAACATGTTACTCTATCTCACAATAACATAATACTCTGTTTGACAATTACTCTATTTGACAGTAATATGTTACTTTGACAACATTGTCTAAGAAGGAAAAAAATTATTTTGCCCTTACTCTATGTATTTTCTCCTTAGGAGATTTATGAAGAAAAATAAATTAATCTATTCTTTTCGCCAAACAAAGATTCAATAGAGAGATTTTGACTTTATGCTAGGTTTGGCATCCCTTAAAAAAGTCAAAAAATCAAAAAATCACTATCTTATTTAAGTCACGTCATCTTATTTAACTCACATCACCTCTCTATCACATCACTTCAAACACAACTCATATTTCATAAAAACTCAAAAAATACACTTATTTAGAACATCTCAGACAACTTCCCAATATCAAATGCCTAAATTAGGCATAAATTTATATTCACCAGCCTCAGAAAATCTCAGAAACTTGCACTCATATTCCATTCCAGATTTCTTTACCTACTTGTAAAATCTGAAACAACCAAAAGATACAGACGGTACTTTCATTCATCTTGCATTGTTTGTGTTCTGATTACACTGAAAAAATCTACACACAGATAAGTTCTTTCCAACACGAAATTGGAGCAAAACAAACACAAGAATACGGTACCCAACCGCCATTAGGAACAACACCAGTAAATTTTCCCACTTAGAATTACTGTTGGGAGATATTTCATATGTGCTTTGAAGAGCCTGATAACCAGAGATGGTCCTTACCTGCCCGACTGCAAAGGAAGTCCCGATGTACTCATTCTCCAATAGCCCCTGAAGCACAAGCGGGCAACAGATATGATATTCATTCATCACCGCCAATATTGATAACATAGAATATATTGGAGATGATGATATCAATAATAAACAATAATGTTGTGCAGAAATCAAAACAATAACAGTAAAGAGAAACAATCAAACAAACAGAACACATATCTATTGTATAACATAATGGTGAAAAATTATCTTGGCCTAACTGCCTCAGCCCTTTGCTTCCATAAAAGGTGCCATATAATAAATATAGTAAAAAATACAAGACACCTCACAACAAATAAATTTTTAATTTAACTGCGTATAAAGCCCTCAATAGAGCAGAATGGCCAAAAAGGTTTCTATAGCCGTCACCACTTGATTGGGCCACAAGGCTTAATTAGGTTTGGTTTGGTTTGGTACGGTACCTCAAAACAAATAATTTGCTATCTACTCCCAAATACTTGGAAACTTTGGGGCCAATTCTAGTTTATTAAATTAAAAAGAATCATACACTACTCTTTCTGGCCAACGATTCCAAAATGAAAACTGAAATAGCGAACATTTCGACAGTAAAACCATGTTTCCAGATTCATGGCACATTTTAGGGAGACAGGGACATTGTATATCATATTTTGGGGGAAAAAAGAAGAAAAATGGAATGTTGTAGTAAGTTCATCTTGCCTGGATAGAGTAAGTGTGGAAAGCAATATACGATATTGGGTACATCCATACTGGTCCTGGCAAAGCACTTCGAATTCTGAAATAGCCAGCCGAAAGCATCAGTAACACCTGCAATGCCATCGTGTGGACCAACAGATTAAAAACAATTGTCTTATACATCCACGAAACTTAGTACATGGTATAGTCAACAATGAAAAATGCTTGTATGAGCTCTCCTGAATCACCATAAAATAACAACTTTGAGGTAGTATTGTGCATTGGAACTTACATGTATGCACACCAAAGTCAAGACACTCCAAAATATGTCTTGCCAAATGGCAACAGCAGCCAGCATTAGTCCTTCATTTACTAAAAGGCACGCGAAGAAATTCAGCACAAAGTACATCAACAAGCTGAACTGATCTCGGAGCCCTATGAGGAAATAGAAGACAAGACCGGATGAAATGGAGATAAGGAACAAGAACGGGATACTGGAGAGAAGCTGCCCAAGTAAGAAAACCAATGCCCCCGAATGCTGGTTTGACCGCTCACAGGTGTATGTCTGCATCATAAACGGCAATATGATTAGGTCATAGAGTAAAGGGCATGAATGACACAACTATGCAACTTCTCAAACCAATGATGTAATCCTTGGCACAATTTGTGCATGCCATTTATTGTCCAAATCATAAACAAGTGCTTCAAGATGTCTAAAATTAGCACTATAAGGGAATCTGTGTAATAAAACTTATGCCATGTTTCTATATTGTCCAAGATAATTCTATAGTTTTATTTTTTGGTGGAAGTTCTAAATCTTTTTTCTTAACAGGAAATAATTGAACTCACAGGGCAGTTAGAGAAATAAAAATTACACCCCAAAGGTCAACATGCTTGCAAAACTAGAGGTTACAATTATTTGAATTAAAAAAATATAGCTGGAAGTTTCAAGCAAGTACAAATAAATTGGTTATCTATTTTGCTTAGCCATATATTCCATGACTAGAATTAATTGTGCAAAAATATTGAGATGATTGATTTCGAAAGTACTAAGAGCTTCAAGATTGATGGAACTCTTCCTTATGATGATTGATAATAAACTGAAAAAACACTATTGCACTCGTTAGCTTACAGGATGGATGAGAGTAACTAACTAAACCCTTCGAAAAGGAACTCAAGCCAAGGTGGTTATGGCAATCCCAATTGCTACTCTATACAGCGGTTTAGGCATATAATAGTGACTATAAACACATATGGCAAATTGGTAATCCAATTCCCTTAATCATCCTTTAGTTGTATTAAATCATTATTGATCCTTGGCATGTACTATTAATTATTATATGTATGTGTCATCACAACTCAAACTATTCAGAACTTCCTTAAATGCCAAGTATGAATGACCCAATAGCCCCTTTAAAGCCAAGATTGTCAAATGCAAGCTTCCATGCAAATGAAACACATATTGGCAATCCCACAGGGTACTTGAAGTCAACATAAATGAGAAAATAGCAACTCTTATTACCTTCATTTCTTTCATTTGTGCAGGTAGTCCAGCAATGCTTAGAAGTGAAGTAAAAGATACAAATACAAATATCGCGGCAACTCTAGTCTGCAATTTCAGAGGCCAGTCATAGAGAAAAGGTCAGGCATGTCACAAGAAACACACAAGAAGAATACGCAAATAGATAAGCACAGGAGAAAAATCTGCTCAAAACAAATGGTTAAGCAAGGATTAATAGTAGAGTATTTTAGAACTTCAAACTAGAAATTAATAGTGTGTATTTGGCAATTTCAAGCTAGAATTTAACATGTGTTTTTCCTAACAATCAGTATCAACATTTCCATGGGCCTATTTTGGGCATTTTAACCTCTGTAAGAAATGTATAGCCTACCTATGTAATCACAAAATAACAAGAAGCAACATCACCATGGGATTGTTCGTACACAACAGAAATGGAAACTGAAACAATTAAAAAAGGGTTACGTAATTGGAAAGGATAACTGCCGTATTTTCAGGGTATTTTTCCCAAAAAAATCCCAAAAGGCAAAGGGTATGCCACTGAGGAATCTACTTCTAGAAACACTTCTTCTGCAACCTCATAGGCTGGCGTTTTGACTTCTACAAATCACTCCCACAATGATATCCAGCAAATTGCACAACAAAGTCACCATGAAAAGCCATTGTTACTTTAGTTTCACTCCTACTTCATCTTAAAACAGTTTTCCCATAAACATCTTTTGTAGCCTTTAAGAATCCGTTAGTAATAATCCATATAAGCCAAAAATAGAATAAAACAGGCATAAATAACAGAATTACGGACTTCAAAACATAGCACAACAATGTGGAGCAGAGGATGCCACTTCTAGATGAAATTATTAGAGTGGCATTGTGGTTTGTGGACAAATGGATTTGGCCGCCATTGCACATATATATTAAAAATAAATAAATAAATAAATAAAGGTGATTTGTGGACATAAAAAGGAAAAAATAAGAAATGAAATAAATGATGTACAGACACTGAATTTTAGACCTAAAATCAGGTGGGGATTTGATAAGTATGGTGAAGACTGCTCATAGTTTAGCTAAGGATATTCTTAAATAATTAACATTTGAAACAACTGCATGCCGTCTTAATTATCATTTAAATTCTGTAATGAAAGAAAGGTGTTTGAGTTTGAATATCTGAAACTCACCACAACAGATGATAAGGAATGCCCTAGTCCAGAAAATACTGTACCAATACTTAGTGTAAGAAGCATATAGAGAATCAGCCGAAGCCAGTAGTATTTCCACTCCCTTGACATAATCAATAAGGATCTCCAAGTCAAAACTGCAATTCGCGTAGCATTGCTTGCCTTCCCCTTGCTTTTGAGAGATGGACCTCCCTGTGATAATAGTTGCATGTAACAAGTTAGGGCACATGACAACTCATAGAAGCTCCATCTGATAATTATGGCCGTTCATTTTGGGCTTTGGAGGCCATGCATGATAAAAGCAAAATGGGCATGATTTAGGGCAAAAGATAAGACAACAGAAAAAGAATGATAAGAAACCAGACACTAAAAATGGTGTAGTTGGGGTACAGCTTCAGATGTAAATCCAAAAATAATCAAAAATTCAAAAGGAAAGGGGAAGGCAGAAAATTAGAGAACTGGTAACAGAGCTCTCTTGGCATCCATAAACTGAAAAGGGTAGCCCATTATCTTCTCATATTTCTCACTAGAAACTTCGATTTTGAACCCTCCACAGCTTGGATTTCATCTTAACTATTTTCTAAAGAAACTGAAACCCCATACATTTTATCACCAAAGAAAAAGAACAAGAAAAAAAAGCTATCAGAATTCAAAGTTCATAGGTCATGTGTTACATGGACTCAAGTCTTGGTGGCAGGTACAGATATGTGTAACTCAAATGATGTGACATACAATTCAGTCGGAATACAGAAAACCTGCCTACATGGGACCAAAAAATGTATATAGTGACACTCATACCTTTTCAGTGAGCTTTAGTATCATAGTCTCAACTGCAGCAGCATCCGCTGAAGATTTATAAGTTGCTTCAAGGGTACGTATTGCGACAGCAGTGTCCATATTTACAGATGAAAAATCTCCCTGGTCATCCTGTGAAAATGATTTAGTCCATGAGAGAGAGAGAGAGTGACTTGTGCTAAAATTCACAGCATGTTATATAGTTAAGTCCTGCAAGCTCCAAAGATCACAAAAATAGGAAAATAAAATTATGCTCCATAAAAAGGTTGAAAACGACTGTTCAACCTCCAACTTATTGATCCAACCAATAAAACAGCAAGCACGGAAAGTACCTGACAATTTTTGCACATTGCAATGATCCTGTCGAAGTCTGTATTTATTGCACGTAAAAAGTGATCTGAAGGACTTTGCATAATTGGGCAAGGAAATCCAGCATTTGCAAAGTGCTTCATCAACAAAAGGCATGTTAGTTATAAATATAAAACACATAACCCTAGAGGAGGAAAATAAATGATGACTTCAAATCTTCAAACATAGCAACATTATTAATAATAACGTTAATAACAACGATAGTAATAGTAATTATTAAAACACAATATCATTATTCTTACTACCACAATCATCTTAAATTTGACCATTATTATGTCCAAACTTGAAAGTAGCCCCACATATAATGGACTCACAAACTCTTGAATAAAAAACTTTACACAAACTCAAGATTGAAGAATGCAAATGGATGGTATCCAGTGATGCATTACCTGCAAACAAGCTAATGTCTCTCCAAAAAACAAGGTGTTTCCATTTGAAAGCAGACAGATCCGGTCAAAGAGGCCAAATACTTCTGTGCTGCTCTGGTTGATGGTAAATATAAGAGTGCAACCTGTGCTTGCAAGCTTCTTCAACGTAACCATCATCAGAAGTGCAGACACACTGGAAAAAAGGAGAACTAACCTTTTACTTATCACGGAGTAAAACTCATGGTATACAACAAATGGAACATAGCAGTTGTAGGGACTGTGACCTCCCAACTCAAGTCACTCGGACTATTAAACTCAATGGAAAAATACGAAAATAAATAAACAAAAACAGCAATACTATTAGACCATTAGTTTTCCTACATCCTTCAGAATTAAATGGAAGAATGCTTTGAAAAGACCAATATAGAGACATTTTTTTCTTTAAATGGATCCCAAATATCTGTTCCATTAAATAAAGCTACGGTCTGGCTTCTCAATGTATGAGAAAGTGTGACACTGAACATAACTGACACGCAAGAGAATGAGTGGGAAGAGAAAAAGAAAATACAACAAACAAGACCCTTTAGTCAAGTAATAATTACAGTACAAACGCATTCACAAACTCCTGATAATAATTAGTTTCAATTCCCAACCAACTTTTAGCAAGGAACCATTCAACTTTTTTCCCTTCACTTTCCTCGAAGTTGAAAATTTGGTCCTTTCTCAGAACAAAGTTCTTTGCATATAACAATGAAGCCCAAAAACATGTCTATATTTTTCAAAATACTATGCCAAAACTTTTTAGTAATTAGATTCAGACTAGCATACAAAGTCCATTTTTGTCAGGCCTCATATTAATATGTGAATTTACAAACCATGGTTCACGCATAGGTAATTCAGCACAGATGGTAAATTTTTCATGCAAGTTAAAACTTGTCGTCAGTATACAAACAATGCATATTAAAGTTCAAAATTGATAGACAAACACGTGTGTGAGGGATGGAATATTAGTTACACCTACATAGTATTTACACCTACCACTACATGATAAGCCATACATATCCTTCACAAAATCATAACATCTCATCCACAAATATCATCTTTTACATTTTTGTAAAATAAACAAGCTACCTACAGAACTCCTAAAACATGCTTCAGTTTGGCAACTTTTGGCATTTCTTTGAACAAGGTTTAGAAATGTGTAGATTAAAGAACGCCGATAAATTTTTAAATGCAACTATGAAAACAATAGAATTTTAATTTTCACTAATGTTTCATGTTAGCTTCCTATGAAACATAAAATGTTCCAGCTGTTTCAATGGAACATGAATGGAATTTTGTTCATTGGTAGCAAGTTAAAGTAGAATGTTACCTTATGTGTTCTTAAATATTTTTTACACCAAACAAAATAATTGTTACATTTTGTAAATTAAGATGACCTACAGTCTATATGCAAGATTGCAACACAAGACATAATGAAACTAATGTCTTTGACAGTTCATATCTCATCATTTCAAGAAAACCATAGTAATGCATAAGCTTCTATATTAGGCTTTGTTTAGACCATTCATGAAAACCTCAATGTCACTCAAGATACCAGGTAAGTAGAACCATAAAATCTGAATTTAAACATTCAATTTATTCACCCTGGCTAGTGTGCTACACGTAATTATGTATTGAAATTTTTTTATAATAAAGCAGTGCAGATCACTCAAGCCATGCATACCAAACTCCACTTGAGACCCTTCCAATCCTAAACCAGAGAAAGATTACCAGCGGAAAAATAAACAAACAAACCTGTCAAGATGATAAAGAGGCTCATCTATAAAGAGAATATGTGGTCTCATGACAAGCTCCCGAGCAATACTGACACGCCTTCTCTCACCATTAGGAAGACCCTTCATGTAACAGTGGCCACCTATGAGTTTATTTGCATAATCACCCAGTGACATAGCAAGGATGGCATCCTCTACTACACTCTTTTTCTGACAGAAGAAACCAGGAAGCTGGAGCAGCGCCGAGTAGTAAAGGAACTCACGCACAGTTAGGGATCCAATAAGTGTGGTTTCCCTATCAACAAATCCCTGTGAGTTGGGTAAAAATAAAATGCCATGTCAGAATTTGCAGACTCACAAAAAATAAGTAAATAAATAAAATAAAGTGATGGCCGTCAGATAAATATAATATGTTGATAAGACGTTTTATGTTGCAAATTTGCAAGTGATAAAATAGTCCAATCTCATCAAGAACAATTTATGGGGAATTGAAAATATGCAGAATTTCCATGGATAGTGCAAGTAAGCAACTTCAGAAAGTGAAGGAAAATAATGAGAAGATCAGAACAAACACAACAAAGAACAAAAAGATTTACGCGGTTCAGGCTTGAGACAGATACCAAATTAAGACAACAGCCCAATAGAATTCACAGAGTAAATGAAAATAACTAAAATAAGATTCAATGACCAAAACATAATTTAGAACTTACGTATGACCCATATGGCAAACGTGATTTCTCCCCACTCACAAACACCTCACCATACATTTTGTCCGAATCATGCAACCTTCCTAAATTACAAAGAAAACATCAATTTTAGTTTTATTCCATCTACATAATGGTTTGCACTTTTAGTATTGGCAATCAATTGAATGCTACGAACCTGCAAGAGCTCTCAATAGTGTCGATTTCCCAGACTTGGCAGGACCCATAATAACTGTCATTGTGCCTGGTAATGCATAACCATTCGAGCTCTTCACAACCTTATCAGAATACTTTCTTTTTCCCTTTATAGTAACAGTCAAGTCCCTCCACACAACTGATGCCCCAGCAATCTTTCTTGCAACAACAGCACCTTCTGGTAAAGGTGGGGATGGCAATGACCCGCTATTAATCTTTGAAAGAGAGGGTGAGGCCGGAGTGGTTGCAGCATTAATTGAGTCACCTCCTTCCTCCACCCTAGCTTCAATATCGGTGTCATCCCAATCTGGTGAATCCTCAAAGGATATCGGTTGTCTAAGCGAACCGGGTTTGCGCAGATAGAAAAAATTGCTTGATGGAACCCTACTTGCCGGACTACTCGCGGATGAAGATGACGATCTGTAGTTATCAGATTGAGTCTGAATTTCTTCCATTTGACTTTTCCAAAAACTAAAGCATCAAGTTGTTGTGACAAATAACAAGCTACAACATTTAAATAACTCCAAAAATCAATAGTTGCCTTCAATCCTGTTGAGCATTAGAAACAGCTATACCTGCATCCAACATAAATTAAGCTAATATGAGAAGAAAAAAAAAAAGCAAAATTGAACTTGAAAACTAAAATTCAAGTTACTTTCTGATCTGTAAACATTTCAATATTCAGAAAATAAAATAATGATTTTTTTTAAGCAAATTCAGTCTTTGCTTGTAAACAGTAGAAGGTGAAGATACAGTGAAAAATTAAGTCATAAATCTTTTTGATTAATGGGGACCCATTAAGGGGAAAAGCCGCCACTCAAGCTAACATAACAATATTCTTTGTCTTGGTGTGAAAACTTTCCATCGGTTTAAACTTAAATAACACAAGACTCCAAAAGCATGTTTGATAGGAAGGATTAAAGCATGGGATTAGGATTATTAATCCGTGGGTCCAATCATCCTATGTTTGTTTTGATATTTTGGTTTAGGACTATTAATTCAATGGATAATTAATCCAACAAATTTAGCAAATTCAGTCTTTGCTTGTAAACAGTAGAAGGTGAAGATACAGTGAAAAATTAAGTCATAAATCTTTTTGATTAATGGGGACCCATTAAGGGGAAAAGCCGCCACTCAAGCTAACATAACAATATTCTCTGTCTTGGTGTGAAAACTTTCCATCGGTTTAAACTTAAATAACACAAGACTCCAAGTGCCTACCATTTTGTTTTCTTTTCCCCAGATTTCTCATGATTGAGCATGACCCACGAAACCCAAAAGCTCAAATCCCAAATTACACAAATATACTGGAATACCCAAATACACATATATACATACAGATACACATCACAAAACAAGTGAACCAGTGATTTCATTTGATTCGAATCCCATACGAACCATTCACTGAATCACAACAAGGGAAATCCATTTAGTTCTAACACAGTAAACAATGAGCAGTCACTGAAGAAACCAAGCTTCAACATGCATAACCCTTCGAATGAAAGAGAGAGAGAGAGAGAGAGAGAGAGAGAGAGAGAGAGAGAAACTAAAAAGAATCGAAACCCAGTGGCAGACAATGAGAGGTAGACAGAGAAGGGGACTGACCTGGATCTGAGCGAACTTGAAGGAGAGAGAGAAGAGAGAGTGTGTGTGTGAAAGGAGTGAGGAATGAGGAAGTGTGTTGATTTATATAGTGAGTGGATCAATTAGACCCGCTTTTCCGGTTGTTTATTTTTGGGTAAATTACACTCACCCCCATTACGTTTCTAACAATTACAAAAAAAAAAAATTAATTAATTAATTTTAATAATTACATAAATCTTCTTTGCTTTTTCTGATATTGTTAAGATTTTCTCTCCCATTAATTTAAGCCAAACAATGCTAACTTGATTGTGTAAATGACCATAATATCCTTTACACTTAATACCCTTTAATTGTAATTTACCTATATATTAGGATTTGTTTGGTAACCATTCCATTTTTAGTTTTCAGTTTATATTTACAAAAATTTTAAAAACTGTCATAAAAATTTATTTGATAATTTTTTTGATTTATTAATAGTTGTCTCAGTTTATAAATTTGAGGACAAAACGTAAACTTAAAAAATGAGTTTACGTTTTCAGTTTTCAATTTTTTTTTCAAATATTATTTTTTTCAATTAATTATTTTTTCAAATAATTTTTTTCCAATTATTTTTTTCAATTAATCATTTTTTCAAATAATTTTTTTTTAATTAATTTTTTTCCCCAATTAAATTTTTTTTCAATTATTTTTTTAATTAACTTTTTTTCATTTTTTTCAATTAAATTTTTTTCCAATTAAATTTGTTTTCAATTATTTTTTTGATTAATTTTTTTTCAATTATAATATGTGTGATCCCATTGTCATAAATAATAAAAATAAATATAAATATTTTAGGCCTGAACAAACATATTTTTTAGTTTATATTTTTAAAAAATTTGTTTAAACTAAACGCGTTTATAATTTATGTTTTTCTAAAAATAAACAAAAACCAATTTATAAAATTTTTGTAAACATAAATCAAAAACGTAAACGTTACCAAATGCTATCTTAAATTATCATTTTATTTCTCACAAATTTTTTTTGCATTTCTTTAACTTGGTATTTTTTTTTTTTTTCCACGATAAGTTTTGAACTTTTATAAGTTTAAAAAAAAAAATCAACCATTAATGAAATTAAGAAAGAATATTCATGTTTGTTATTTGAATTAATTTTGAGATTTAATTTAATAAAAATAATTTAAATGAAAGAAACAAAGATGGAGATATAGATTTTAAATGTAATAAATAACAAATTATTTGAGTATTTTATTATTTTCAAATAATTTATTTCTTCAAATAAAATTCTATTTTAATTAGATGTAAGAAATGACAAATTTAAATAGTTTATTATTCTCAGATAATTTCTTTATCTTTCATTCCTTATCCTCTAATTTTAATTTATTGTAATGTGATTAGATATTTTTCGACTTTTATATTTATTTTTAAAAATTTTATTATTAAGGTGAGAAATATTGACTTATTTTTTTAATGATAATTAAAATTTGAGAATAACATAGGATTGTGAAAAAATAAAATGATAAATTTTTTTATATATATTTATGAGGTAACATTTGGTAATTTTTATAAGTCAAATTTTTTTATTATAAATATGAAATGTTATTATGTTTATTTTTCTTAAAAAAAATTAATACAGAAATATGTTTACAAAACATAAGAAAAATACATGTCTCGTAACCTACTATAGTATTGGGTGATTCTGGCTAACATTGATGAAAGAGAAAAAATGATGAAAAAAATATAGAGAAGAGAACAGATAATAATAATAATAATCATAATCATAATAATAATAATAATAATAATAACAAATTATATGGCGTCGCTATTTGCTGTAGTGATACTGTGAAAAAATGAATAAAAAAATAAATAAAAAGAAAAATGAAATAAATAAAGTAAAGAAAATGGAAAGAGAGGGATAATTTCTTCAAATATGTATTTTTCATACCGAAAAAAAAAAATCAAATACTTATATGTATTTTTAAATTTTTATTCAAACTCTAATTTCTCAAAATAATTATTTATAAAATTGGTGTCTTTTTAAAAAATAAAACATCTTTTATGCTTCGTTTCGTAATTTTTAAATAAATGATTGTATTTAATCTAGTATAAGGTTTAATGATCAATTTATAAGGTCTTTTTTTTTTTAAGATAAGGTAACGTTTGGTTATTCTACTATATATATGTTTGTCTTAACAATTTAAATTTTTTAAAAATATTGTATAGAATTTAATAATTTTGTTTAACATTATTAAAATAATGTATGAGTCTTTATTAATTTTTTGTAAAACCTAAGTAAAACTAATATATAAACGCGATTTTGGAATTTTTTACTTATAGTACATGATGCTAGCATGACGTCATCATATTCTATTAAATAAATTATTAGAAGATTAAAGGTGGGTAATCTTAACAATAATTTTAAAATTAAGAGTGATTTCTGTAATTATTAAAACTATAAGAAAGATCTCTATAATTATTAAAAACCTCAGGGGAGGTGAGTGTAATTTATCCTTTATATTTTTTCTGATTCTTTGCTGTCTATCTACTTTATCCTACCCCTTTTTCTTTTATTTTCTTTCTTTATGCCCAACATACAATATTTCAATAGAGATTATTAAGATTGGTTTGACTATTTTTTTAAAATTATATATTAAAAAAATCGTAGTGCTACATGCGCACAATTTCTCTTCCTAAATCCTCCGAATAAGATGGGAAGACAGAATACAAATTTTATACCAATTACTATGTGTTGTACTTGTGTTTCACTCACCACAAAACACCTTTCTATGATTCTGACCACTAAGAGTATTTGAGTGTAGGAGAGTTTTAAGAGAATATTAGAATGTTGATTAACATTTAAAATTTTATTTGTCATGTTAATCGGTGGGTTTTGAGAGGTAAAAATTGTGTGGATGAATCATTTTTTATAAAAAAAATAAATGTCACTTTACAACCCAAAATTTTTCTAAAAAATTAACTATAATTAATTTTACCTTTTTTATTATATAAATCTTACATTTAAATTATTATAATTTAGATCAATGCCAATTTTAACAACTCTTTAATTTCAATACACATTTTTTTATATTCTTATTATTTCATATATCTTTTACACATTTACAAAGTGTAGCAATTTTAACACATAAGAAATGCTTTAAATGTCATCATCTAGAGTGTATGAAAATAGTGTAGTGCTAAGAGTATCATTATCAAACTCATTAGAACCTTCACTTGGTTATTTTATAGCACAAAATCATAAAAATACATTTCATCATATTTAATTATTCGCTAGTTAGTTTAGTTGAACATCAAATCACTAGCTACATATAGTTAGAGAAATATGACTCAACAAATGAAATAAAAAATAGAGAGTTTGTTAGAGAATATAATTGAAAAGATGGTTAATTAAAATAAAAAATATAGACTTTTAATTAAAATTTAACTAAAAAATTGTCTATTTTAATGAAGATACTATATATTTTCATGTCCCTTGTGGAATTATCTTCTCACCTCCCTTGTGGGATTATCTTCTGAATCACTTATTGAAATATTTGGCTTCTTACAAATAGAATTGTCTTCGATACCGTCCCTCCCGTCATAACCAATGCAATATCTTAGCTTAATCCTTACAAAATCCTTCAACTGTTCTACCTTGATTCATTGAGCTAATCTTTTACATAAAACAAATCATTGTAGTAAATTGAACCTTCAAAAAGGCTTGATCAAACTTGACTTTGATAGGGCTGCCAAAGGAAATTCAAGTTGGGCTAGCGGGGGAGGTGTCACAACCCAAACCCGCCCCTACGAGTTTAGCACCGTAACCAGCCAGTAATTCGTGGATTACCAAAGGCCTCTGAACAGATTAACAAATAATAAGGGGCTGCGGAAGTAATAATACAAAATAGACAAGGTCCAATGAGCTGTGATGATGCACATGGGACAGAACATTTTAAAACTTATAAATATATATATAAACATGCCAGCCCAGATACACAGTATTTACAAAATATTTACAGAAGTGAACTTCCCAGGATCTGACTGTACAGTGCTTACACAAAGACTAGCATGAAATACAAAAACAGCCTTGGTGTTAGACTCGATCGGAACCTCCTCGGGAGGCACAGCGGTTGGCTGACAAAAACGGTATAGAGGGCCGTCAACTTTGGCTCTGGTCACATGCCGGCTCACCTACATATATAATATAAACTGTGAGCGAAAGCCCAGTGAATAATAACAGAGTAAAGGGGTTATATGAATGATGTCCATCACAAGTTAGAATCTAGTATTTAATTTAGAGCATAATCAGTCTTCAAAACAGAAACAGATTCATATACATTTGCATATTCAGATTTTGCATAAGATCATACGTGGTACACCCATTAGCTATCAGAACAGATTGGTCCAGAGACCCACATATATAATTGGTACCAACGACCACAAAGGTCCATAACTTGCGCGCAAGTAGCCATGGTATTGTTACCCCCAGGAAACGGCCACATGCAGATTGGCCGCGGTATTATTACCCCCTGGCGAGGGCCACGTGCAGATTGGCCACGGTATTGTTACCCCCAGGTGAGGGCCACGTGAACTAAGGGTGCCACAAATATATTTCAAAAAATTGGACATTCATTCATAATTCATAAGATAGCATTTCAGAAAAACAGATCATATCATACCAGTCGGAAAATACTTAAGTTAAAACATAACTTTACAGAGTTATTACTCATAGTGAGCTTGGAGACAGACAAACAGAGCAGATCGATCAGACAGGACGTGGCACGTGACCTATACGACACATAACAGATACACACTTGAAAC